GATAATCTTCAGTACAATCTTGCTTGCATGTGAAATCAATGATATTGTTCTGTAGTTTCCACACTCAGTTGGGTTGCCCTTCTTTGGAATGGGGACAAATCTAGATCTCTTCCAGTCAGTTGGCCAAGTGGTTGTTCTCCAGATTTCTTGGCACAACCTGGTGAGCACATCCAGGGCAGCATCTGTTAGCTGAAATATGTCAATTGGTATACCATCTATTCCTGGGGCCTTATTTTTTTGCTATTTCCTTCAAAGCAGCTTGAACTTCTTCATCACCATAGGTTCTTGCTCAAATGTTATTTCATTAAATTCTTCTGTATCTGCCAATTGCTTTTGATACAATGACTCAGTATATTCCTTCCATCTTTTTTTAATACTTCCTGGGTCTTTCAATATTCTGCCTAAAGCATCCTTGATTATAGCAACTCGAGGTTTGAATTTGTTCTTCAGTTCCTTGAGCTTAAGAAATGCTGAAATAGTCTCCTGATTATCAGATGTTCATCAAAAAAATGTAGGTGTCAGGCAGAAAATAACAAAGAGTAGTCTGAAGTGGCCATTTACAAATTTGAATTTAGGCTGTTTTGACAAGCACTGTGCGCAGCAGGCACAGAAAGACACCGAGGGCTGGGCTGAGTGGTACGCGACCAGTCAGAGATGAAGTACAAGAGACCTTGAAGCAACTGCAGAGCAGAAGGGCATTCAGGGAATTGTCATGCTGAACACAGAAGGCATTCCCTTCAAATGCTCCATGGACAATTCCATGACCACACGGTACACCAACCTCATGCACAATTTCACCCCGAAGGCACAGAGCTCAGGTGCAAGAAACTGACCTCCAGAATGACTGTAACTTCCTTTGAATTCGCTCCAAGAAAAATGAAATTATGGTTACACCAGATAAAGACTATTTTCCTGATTGTGATTCAGAATCCAACTGAATAACCTTCTCTTTAGGGTCCCTGTGTTATTCTTTAACTTAAAGCCCCCCAAGAAGATTGTTAATTAACCATGCCAAACCACTGCAGTGGAAATCACCCAATGACCCACTCATTCCAGTCTACTGACCACAGGCAAGCTGGTCAATCTAGCCACCCCACCAGCGGAATCTCTCTTCTGCACCTAATGCTCCAAGTCCCCAGTCACCAGGCTGAGGGCCTTCTCTGACCACTCCTGGGGTTTGGAGCTTGAGCTGCTGAGCACAGAACCCACCTTCCTTCTGACCTTCAGCTCACTTGTCTCCCATGGAAAGGCTGTTTTTCTTTCACTAAAAATAACCAAGATGCTTAATTTTTTTTTTAAATTTAGTCATGATGTATTAAAGAATGCATTTTTTAAAAAGTATTATTGCATAGCCCGGCATCAAAATTTCAAATACATACTTAAGTACTTAACATAGTTAAATACTATGGAGTTGGGAGTGACCCTCCAGTGGGTTTTCAGAAGCAGTTTATAACTAACTTTCGCTGGTGGGTTTAACTGCATGCCAGTGGGTTGGCAGGGAGCACTAGTTGCTGAATGGTAAGAAGCTGAACTGATCCCAAATTCATCAGCTACTCTGCGGGAGGACACAATTTCCTCATGTGATTAACATCTCTGAAAATACCAATTCCAATTTGAAGGCATACAAGAAGCCTCCAGTACCCCATATACTTATCCTTAGCATCTACAAATAAATATCAAGCACACACAGTACCTAAAACCACTCCACACCATTCTCATTTTCCTCACTCTCTTCCCTGCCTACTGAGGATTATTTGGGGTATGGGCAATAACTACATTGCTATCTGACCTCTAAAGCCAGAACACTTGGTTTCCAATTCCAAAGCCACACTTTCTTGGGTAAAGGATAACCTCTGAGCCTCAGATGACTCATCTGTAAAACAGAACCAAAAATAAGACCCTAGAGTTATAGCAGGGCACCAGGAGCAACTAGTTTATTTGCTACATGTGTTGCCCTTAGTTTCCTGTTCTTCCCAGTAACAGTTGGCTGCCTTCTCCTCTATGTTCTATATGAACAGTTCTAGGGTATATGCTTGATAAATATCAAAACGCCATCTTCCATCTCTTTACATACAATTCCAGAAGGCAGGAAGGAAGTGCTTCAGGTCAAACTGGTATAAGATAGCTCTAGAGATAATACATTTCTAAGGATAGACTAACCTTGACCTTCCAGCAGTGGTAAACTAAATACTAATTCTTTCTGGGGTGGACAATCAATAGTGTGGAGAAACAATTTTGTTTCTTGTTTGGTTTTAAGTGCTAATAAGGAGTGGTTCTCATTGGTTTTTAAGTGGTAATACACTGTTTCAGTACTGACTCTTTCCTTTACGGTATCTCACAATGCAGCCAAGTCACTCATCCTGTACCTGCGTCGCAGAGCCAAGTTCCAGTCATTTCCCACCTACCTTGCAGGACTATCTGGATAATGAAAAGCACCTATGGATATGGAAATACTTTACTGACCTAAACAAAGCCTGTGGGCCTTCCCATAAGGCTTTTTATACACGATTACTAAACCTTTGGTCCTGAAGAGCTCAGTCACAAACCGAAACAAACATGGGAGTCATATTACACTGAAGCATGTGTATCAAGGAAACACAACCCCTCAGTCTCTGAACCAGGAAACACCAAATTCTGAAGGAGAAATCCCCAGGCCCCAATGTAAGACTTACATAGAAAAGTTGGCATTTTTGTTTTCAAAGCCAACAAAACAGGAGGATTCCCCAAAGGTGAGTTCCCCTTAGACTCCCAGGAGAATCCCAGTCATTTGACAAGTACAACCTGGCCAAGCCAGAAGACAGCTGGCTGAAAACATACCTGTCAACTTTCAAGATGGACAGTCAGACATTTACATGCAGAGATTAATTCTGGTGAAAGCAGAATATGGGAAGTCAGGTTATGAAGGAAACTACAAAGTTTAAAAAAAAAGGTTAAATGAGTACAACAAATCCAAGCAACAATCAAAAGCCTATCCCTTAAGGGATTAAGCAACCTAAAACTATTTTGAGTATTTATATCTTAATAGATCTTTACCAGGTTAAGTCCAAAACAATTCAGTAACAAAATCCAATAGCAAAGCAATGCAACTGAGACCAACAGCATTCGTGCATAAAGCACTGGTGAATCCCCAGGTGGTCTAGTTCAACTCAGAGGTGGAGTAACTAAACAAATCTAGGCCAGGGCTCTCTGCTGCTTAATACTACAAACATGGTGTCTTCAGTGAAGGAAGAATGGCCGGTAATCACCTAGCCTCATGAAAAGCAGCCACAGAAGGGTCCCCAGGCCTTCAGCAAAAGCAAGCTATTCTGGGCTTTGGATCTTAATCAGAAAATTGTCCGTAAGAAAGCAACTGCTTGTTAAAAACCTTTCTGTGGTCTACACTAAGTCACTGTCCTTGGGACTGACTCAAGAGTTGACCCTCCAGTGTGATTCCGAGGCTATGAAGCACATGGGATGCGACTGCCCACCTTTCTCCCACCAGGCTGCCGTCAGAGTCAAACTGAGTGGAAAGTGCTACTTTGGGTTAGCACCACTCCCTACAGACGGCACAGCTGGAGAACCCTCATTTTGTAAGAGCTTGCTTAAATTATGCCACAGGAAAATATACCAACACCAAAGTTGAGTCCACAGTTTTGAGTTGGTTCTTATTTCTCCTTGTTAACTAACAAACTTTAATGTTTTCTTAATAGCCTTTGTAGAATTGTATTTATGGAGAAAATACTCTTTGCAACAATAAATAAAGAACTCCAATGGTCAAGACTTCACAACTCTTTTGTTCTTTTTTTTTTTTAAAAAAAAAAACCAAAACAACCAAAAAACCAAACCACCAGTAAGCTACATTAAGTCTTTAATTCCAGAAGAACTGTTTTGATACAACATACTTTTTTTTCATTCATAAACAGTCCACAGCATTCATAAAGGTGGGAGAAGAATTAAGTAGACACTTTTCAGATGAATTCTTTAAGAACAGATGAATTGGAAGTAATTTAATAACAGATGGAAACAATAAAATCAATACAAAAATGCGATTTGGAGGGAAAAAGACGAACCAAAACTCAAAAACTTTCGTGCATGCAACCCAACAGGTGAATTTTCTTAAAAGCCAAATTAGGTGCCTTAATATGTGTTTGGAGAGACAGCTACAAAAGTATTTTTAAGAGAAAAAAAAAGGGGGGGGGGAACGCTAAAAACTAGCCTTCCACATACATTTAAAAGAAAAAGGAGATGAGGAAGATGGGGGGGCGTATCTCCAGCTACACTTCGGCTAATCACACCTTCTCTAACAAAGAGACACAGAATATTAACTTCACAAGTTCAGCTTCTATAGAGCTCTCTCTCACTTGGGTGTTTCCTGCTCTTCTCAGCATAAACAAAGTTTATGTAGTAGAATACATACTTGAAGGATTCCTTAAAAAATAATGACAAGTTTCATTTTATATATACAACAAAATTTTAATTATGTATTGAAAATAAATTACAGGAAATAACTTTAAAATGCAACAGATGACAAAGATTCACAACAAACATTCCCATTGAGTTCCCTTGGGGAGGCAGGGGTGTGAGACTGCGGTGCTCAAGGAAGATAAATATCACAAATTTATCAAAAACTTTCAATGGTCTATGCATTCACACACTGACATGAGCCACAAACATTCCTTCACAGGGACTGTACTTAGTAGCCTACCACAGAACCAGATTTTGCCATAAACTACAAAACTTTTAATACAAAATCGTATTTCTATATTTATAATTCATATACATGCCCTATCTGTGAGTTTAGAAAATAATAGCTACACAATGTACAGACACATTTAACTCATAGCTATAGGCAACATTTTTGGATGGAATTTCTCCCCCAATAAAATTAATGGCATATTTTATGTACATGAAAGCTAAACTGCAAAAAAACCAGTTCAGTTTCCCAGATATGCATCTCCTTTTAGGGCAGGTTTTATATAAACTTTAAAAGGCAAGACAAATGTACACCTCAGAATCACTTTCTCAGCAACAACAGTTGTCATGTAATTTCTGTGAAGTTTCTGGTACATGCATTTACTTAATACTGGTATTGAAGGCAGTAAAGCAATATATACTTTTAATGTAGTGGCTCAATAAAAGCTTCAATGTCATTCTAATCCAATTCTTGATACAGTGATTCATAACTTCTCTAAAAATTAAAATTTCAATGGGATATATAGTGTTAAGAGACGCTAAATAGATTTCTCAAAGTATTTCCCTGAAATATCCTTTTACATAAGACAAATTTCACTAACACTAGATTAAGTAAAAAGGAAAGAAAAGAAAAAAGAATTAAACATGGCACAAATGTGCATGATAAACTAATGCTCCTCAGCCAATCTCACATCCGAGGAGCCAAGGAAGAGAATGCTTAAAACCAACAATTTTCACACTCTGTGGCAGCCATCTGTGAAGCCAGTTACACTAAACTACTTCTACAGTTGATTGTAAACTTTGGTTTATTTTTGAGTTCTCATTGTACAGCAAGCATGAAAAAAAGAGAGTGGAGTCCATGAGGAGATGAACTGTCAGTCTGTCTTTAATCTGGCATGATGAGACAGCTGGTCAGTCAGGCCTGCTTTGATAGAGTTTGTTACAGACTGCCTTATGTTTTCCTCCATCATTTTATCACCCAGGGGCTTGAATACCTGTGGCATGAGAAATGTGCAAAACAAACAAAAACATGAGGTAAAAAAAGAGTTACATATAAAAACAGATAAAAATTCAATTCAAAGCAATGAAGAAAATAACCAGGAATGTGGAAAATAAAAAGATGCTTCTCCCAAAAACGTTATAGTGCTACAAATAATACAGTTAGACATTTTATAAGGTAACAAAAATTACTCTCGTCCTATTCAAACCATTTACAATTCCTATGAGATGGATGTGCAATTCCATACCCTATATGCAGCATCAAATCTGGTATGTATACAGCATTTATGCAGACCAGCCCAGACGGTCCTGCTTATTGTCCTACATGTATAAGTGTGAACACTTCAGATAGAGAAAAAAGTTAAAAATACTGTCTAATTTTTCTTCTTGTTATTGTTGGATGACAGTCTCTGTCGCTGTGCTGATGAAAGAGCACGATGAATCATTCGACGTCTAGTAACTTCAAACAGTTTGGAAAACACCTAAAACATGGAGTGATTCGTTAGGAGAATGACTTAGAGTGCCATCAAGTCAAAGAGTTTAACACTATAACAATTTGAGGCTTTGTAGGTTTCTCACCTTCCTGGGACTCCTCTGAAGCAAAAGAAAAGAGAAATGCAGAGAAATTTAGACAAGGTTTGTCAGATCTCTGACTAACCTTAACTAGACTTACCTTACCTTACCTAACCTTACCTTAACTAGACTGAAAATAAGCGTATACATTTTTTAGTCTTCCACTGAACTGGTTTTTGTAATAATGAATAATGACACCTCTAAATTCCCAGAACAATGCTGTATTTTTGAAAAGAATACATGTGGTAGAAGATGATAATTCAAAATTTCAAAGTTGAAGGGGGAAAAAGTGAAGTTGTGGTAATTTGTAATGCATCTTCTATTAAAAGATATTCAAGTAACATGAATGAGTTTTTCTCAAAAGATTAAAATTTAAGTAACTATCCAACACAAGTCCACATAGGTGAACTTCCAGCTCAGATCTGAACACAGAACTTTTCTCTAAGAGAAAATACAAGATTCAAATTAACATAATGGGTCACTTTATAATTTCTTACAACAGAAGTTAACATCTAATCAACTTTTTTCAAAGATAGCCTACTTCTCCAGTCTTTTAAAGTCACACAAACATGGACTTTCAGATTCTAGATCTTTCAATAAGATCTTACTGGCTTAGAAAAGGCATCTGAAAAGGTTATTATACTGTCCATATTACTTCTGGTCCTTGCTGTGACACTCAAGTATTTCACAATGATCATTTTACCAATAATAACCTTAAGTGGAATTTTCTACACACAGGTAATTCCAGCACACAGCTGGCAAACATGTATAAATGGTTCTGGTTGAGGTCTGGGTCCAGAGTTCAAAGGGAGGGCTGATAACTCAAAGGCCATGCTTCTCTGGTAGTTCGAATCCACCAGCAGCAACATGGAAGAAGGACGGACATTTCCTATGCGATTTACAGCCTCAGACACTCAATAGAAAGTCACTATGAGTTGGTTCCAAGTTGACGGCAAGGAGGTTTCTTTTCCTTAGAAGGTACTGGGAAAGAATTCACAGCCCGACTTTGAATTCTGTTGGAAGTAAAAGATTCCTGAAGTTCACTATTTCCTTGTGGATCTTTGCTTGTTCATTAGTGTTTCCAAAAGCACAGAAGTCAAATGTTTCAGTTTATAAAATCCCTGTAAAAATCCTTCCTTGTAGAACATAAACCCTGTCTTCCCAGAAGGCAAGGAAGACTGGAAGACAATGAAAGCTCAAGATATGTCCTGGATGCAAGAGCGTATTGCTTCTTGACAAAATTAGTAAGACATTTTTTGTTTTCCTGCATTTCCAAAGCTTCTTTTCCTTATCAGAAAATGTTCAAGACTCTGGCCTCGTCCACTGTCAGGCATGCTCACACTTAAAGCACTTTATGAATTTAAAAGAAAAAGAAATTCTTCAATTCATACTTTACACTCTCATTACACATCCAAAAAAAATCAGAGAACATCCTTTTGATCCTTTTCATAGAATGGAAAAATTAGGCATATAGATACTGAAGGGGGAAAGAACCCAAATCATATAAATTAATCAGCACTAAAAAACAAGAAAATAGATACTAACCTGTTCCCACAGTGTTTCAGCAATCTGATCAATCATTGTTCCAATTTCTCTGAACTCCCCAGAGTATTTAACATATGCCCAAGTACAAAGAGCTATCAGGGCTAGCCCCATGACAAGGTTACACAAGAAGGCTATAGAGGCTAAGCCAATGAAGCCAGTCAGTCCTGCGATTATGTACATAGCAAACATGACTGCAAACAGCGTGGCAGGAGTACGAGCAGCATAGAAGATATTTTTGCCATCATTGTGCTTTATAAAATTTGCATAGGTTTCTTCAATTTCAGCTTCAAGCTGGTCCTGATAACGACGACAGAACTCATCTCCACCCATTTTTTTTACAGAACGAAACTGTTTAATTGCTGCTTCCTTGAGATCCAAGTGTTTTCGCTCCAGGTCTGAGGGTGCAATGTAAGGCTTGTCTCCACCACATACCTATGGACAGATTACAGCAGGATGGATGATGTGCTGGAATGTATACTTAATACTAGTTCCCTGGTTCATAACTTTTGCTTTTATATTGTTAAACAGGTTTAAAATTATCTTGCATAGGATAATAATCTGTTAATCTACAATGTTACTGACTTAGACAATTTTCCAAATATAAAAAAAAGACTTATAGCCTAAAAAATAAAAAAAAAAAGACTTACAGCCTGAATTCATTTAACTCAACAACATAATCTCTTCTAAGAAGAGAGTGGGTACAATTTAAAACACTAAAAAGATATTCTAATATTTGTGCCAGAAGCATAGCAGAGAAACTGCTATGTGTCTTACACTAATACAACTTATATCAGAGACTACAAAAAGCTAAGTTATGCTCAGAAAATATTTCAGGAATTTATGTAATAACTTGCCACTGCACTTTGTACTCTAATGTGAATTATTTTGAAACAGATTGTTTCTAGTAAAGATGATAAAAGGGAATAGGGGTGGCACAGTGGCTAAAGCACTGGGTTGCTATCCGCAAAAGGCCTGCTTTAGACCCATCAATTATTACTCTACCAGAAAAAGAAGTGACATTCTTCTTCTGTAAAGCTTACACCCTTGGCGAATATACGCTGTCAGAACTGACAGCAACACATAATGTAACAATACATAAAAAATTAACCCACGATCAAAAAAGCCTATTCTGACCCATAGCAGCCCAATAGGAAAGAACAGAAATGCCCCACAGGGTTTCCAAGGCGGCTTCAAACTGATTCAGTCTTATTCAGAGCTCACAGAGCCACACTGGAATGGACGTTAAATAAATGGAATGGAAAAAATTACTAGCTGAATCCCTACTAGAAACTTAATCTCCTTCTAGCAAAACAAGATCAAATATATTGCATAGCAACCAAATTTCATGATCCACTGAGTCAAAAACAGCAGCGCCTATCTGAAAAACAGAGGTCAAGTGTGCCAATCTGAGGATGTGTTCTCATCTACAGTCCTGGCCATAATCCTGCCATGAATCCATGAATCAAGCCCCTTAAAGGGCTCTCTACACCTCCCAACAGAGAGCTTCAATCTGTAATTTCCCCCATTTGAGCTAGATTTCAAATCATCCCAATTTAGGTCTATTCTGATTTCACTTCGTTGGGCATGAGTGAACATGTTCAAATAGGTCCAAAGCAGTATTTTTCAAGGTTTATGACGCAGACTGCCACAACCTTTTCTCATGTGGAGTGGCTGATGGGTCTGACCCATGCACCTTTCATTTAGCAGCCAAGGGCCTAACTAGTGCATAACTAGGGCTCACCAAGACAATATCCAAGGAATAGAAATTATTTCAATTATTTTAAACATAAAAATCTGTTATTCCTTTCTAATGTAAAATTTAAATTTTAGTTACATACTTGCTCCATATTTTTGCTATAGGTATCTCTTGCTCCTGCTACTGCAGCAAGATTATTAGCTTCAGCTGTTGCCTAAAAAGAAAAAAAAAGTACCAATTACTACTACTAAAAATCTGATTACCACAATACATCATGTATAACCAAGTATAAAAACAAATCAAAGAAAAATATTGTCAATTCTGTTTTCCTTCTTACCTAAGAATCACTGACATAAAATAGTTCTAATGAGATTGCTTCACTATTACTAGTTCTATGTTAAAAGGGGTTGTAAAAATCAAATTTGCTTATTAGTGTATAGATAACGTATTAACATGTTTAATTTCCAGATGCAAAATATCAGGAATTACCATCCTGTTATAGCACTACCACAACAGATGTTTTTAAATCCACAAAAAGGCTTACTGAGTGAATTTTTATTATGAAAAAAACCCATGAAATCCACTATAAAAGTGAGAAGCTACCCAAGGTAGTAGCCCTTAAAATAAGCATGAGCAAAATTAAAAATTAGGAGCTCCGGTGGCTTAGTGGTAAGGAGTTCTGCTGCCAACTAAGAGGCGCAGAGATCGAATCTACCAGCTGTTCCACAGAATAAAGATGAATGATGTACAGCCTGACAATCCAATGAGGAGTCAGCTATGAGGTGCTCCTGACTCAAGGTCCACAACATCTTTTAAAAAAAAATCAACACTTATTCCAAACACCATTACTTGTCAGACACTTGGAGAATGAGAGCTTAGTTAAGCTATTCTCATATTAAGCCACCGTATACAATAATTTTCTACATTTGGACAACTGAAGAGAAGGCACCAAACCTTTACACATGCAAGGCATGCAATCTACAGTTTTATTATATAAAAACTCTAGACTGCACATACAGCATTAAATATTAGATGTACTTGAATGTAAAGCAGCAACAGAAAAATAATTCCAAAGTTCTCTCACACCCCTGCCCATCTTCAACCATTTATCTCTGAAGCTAGCAGAGAAAATATGTAGAGGGTTGCATCATTTACCATCTGTTCAGACAATGTCCTGCAGGTGGTCCCACAGGTTACTTTTTAAAAAAGGGAAAGTAATTCTCCTGCTCTTCGGTTGGATCCAACTTGACAGCACACAACAGTGGTTTAAAAGACCTCAAACCTGACTCTTATAACATCAGACAATAAGTGGGATACAGACAGGTGAGGCACAGGACAGAGTTTCTGAGAAAAGCTCTGTCTGGAAGGAACACTGAGGTGGAAGGGAGGCTACTCTTGCTGCTCAAGTGGGCAGAGTGGTTGGTCATGCTCCTTCCCTGCTCACTGCTCTTGCTGTTACCCTCTCAGCCACTAATGCCACCACTGTCCTTTTCTCTGCCTCCAACAGGACCAACAGCAGTGGTGACAAGGACAATTAGAAGGGCTCCTATGTTTTGTAAAAAAACATTTTATATTGGTTTGCTTAAAAAGTTTGTACACCTTGTGTTTCACATTATTCCTCATTCATATTGTGTTTTATACAATCATTCCCATGTGTTATGTTTATGAAATTAATCACCATTGCACCTTGCCCATCATTACCATGTCTTTTCACCCAGATTCTACTCATTTTGTTTATCCCCCTCCCTCCACCCATCAGAAGGTAATAGGGTGTATATAAATGTGCCACAAACACACTACCTGAAGCATGGACTTTGGATGTGGAAGTTCCTCTCCTTGATAAATTTTAATGTATGCCTAAAAAAAAAATTGATGTTTAATTATGTGGGGTATGCAATTAGACTCTAACTCCAAAGAAAGAAAAGAAAGCCACAATTTCTTCATTCTAGAATGGTTCATATCATACCTTAGAAAATATTTTAACTCAGTATTTTATTCCAGCTTAAAAAAACCCTAATCTGTTATTTAAGGAGAGTATGGAAGTTTATAGCAAGCCCATCCAGAGATTTTCCATGTCGAATTTCTACTGCCTCATCGTGCATTCAGAGCTAACAAAAACTAGATGAGAGTGACCAAATATCCGTTAATCCATTAACAGTTAAAATGGTCATCTCTTGCAAGAGTAGCACAAAGTTATGATGATTAGAACGGTACAAAGGTACTTAAAAAAAACAAAACCCATCACTACCAAAACACTCCTATGGATAATTTATTTGAACAATTTAGTAAGTATTAAATAATTATGCTTCCAACTTCCCTTATCATAAACGTTAGCATGATATTATGATCAGTTCTGACCAATACCTTTTTGCATAAGAAAACTGGAGGAGGTAAATTTGAAACACTACGCAAACAAATAAAATTAATCTAGAAGAATTAGTATACTATATTCTATAGTATTTTAAAATATCTTTAAATATTAGTAGACCTAACTCAAGGTTAAAAATTATAAATTATTTTTACTTTAAAATAATTTCTCATATATAGGCATAAAATAGTCACAAGTATACTAGGATTCTAACTCAGATAAGCCACTTAATTTAAACATTTGCCCACCTTAAAGTATTCTACAAGAGCTCTACAAGTGACTTTGGATCCACTTATCTCTTTTTCAACCAAATTTTCAGGGGCAAGCAGTAATGGAACCAGACTTCGAAGCTCTCGTTTAAAGTCATCTTCAATATCTAGTAGAGATAAAATTAGCAAATTTACTAGTCCAAAACAAAGGGTAAAATATTGGAAGGGAAGGAAAGACAGGAAAATTTGAGAGAACATGATTATAAAATTATGTTTTAAAAAACCCTCCAAAACTCCACCTGGTAAGAGTTCATAAAAATATTTTTCACAAAGTAATAGTATACATTGTCTATTACTTAAGTAAACTCATTTAAAAACAAGTATTTATCAAATAAATGGCCCACAATGTATCTAAATATGACATAATCTCCCAGTAAAAATAATCTCCCCAACACTAGTTGCCCATATTCTAGTACCTCAAAAACTTTCATAGATCAAAAACCATGTAAACAAATTGTGGACTACAAAACCAAATTTTTCACTAATTAATAATTAATCTTTTCAAAAGAGGCAAATAATTAATGAGATTACATTTTAACACTAGATATTGTTTTCCACCCATATTGTAGATATTTTTATTAACCCAAGCTCTTTGACATCATATTTGAAATTATTCTAAAACACAGACCAAAAAAATTATACTCTCCACCTTGAAACAGAAAATATTTTTTTTCTATAATTATATTTTATTAATTTTCATAAACATTTACAGAGATTTTGGGCTTCCACTCATTCATTGTTGCACTATTCTCTCTACCCTCCTCCCAGTTTGTTCTTGTCCAAATGCCACAGTGCTTGTCAAAGCCAGTGAAACAGAAAAATTTAAATTGGATTTATTACCGTATTAGCTAGTTAATGATTTTTAGAATGCAATCAGATGAACTATCAAAAAGAACTGTATGTTCCTAGCCTTCAAAATATCTCTGAAGATGTCAATGCTGGGTAACAGACTACATTATGAAATTAACTCTTGCAACTGCAAATAAATCAACACAAAGATAGAAAGTATAACTTAATTAACAATACCTCAAAGTGTTCTCCAAATCACATGCAAAAAAAAAAAGCAATCCAGAATAAAAATTTAATTGTAAAAAAAAAAAAATGTTCTCCAGCCTAAGAGAGAAAATGTAAACAAACACACACTCAAAAGATAAAAATATTTTGACTCTAAATATAAGGTCTGATTTTAGCAAGAATGGGAATTCCAACCTTTTAATCTTCCATCAAAAGTCGGATTAGTCGCAACTTCAAGGCCAGGGTGTGGCAAAAGGAAGCAACCAAGATTGGAGAAACAATTGTGAATGTGCTTCCTTACATTCTGTAGCTCTTCATGTTGGTTTTGTTTCACCTGCAGGGAGAAGAGAACACGGTAAAGATGCAAACAAAGGAGGGATGTTCCAGAGCACGCAGAGATGAGTGCACACACTTAACACACTGGCCACTCGACATGAGTGCTTCCTGACAATGGGACTCCAGGTTGATTTCTGATCATACCTTCTGATCTTAGGTAAAACTCCACTCTTTAAAGCTGAAGAGATGTTTTTCTTGGGTAAATTAATTGGAATACCAAAATACATGAATAACAAGCTAACATTCAAATAAGAGATTCTGGTAGTGGCTTACATACTAAATTAGAAATAAGAATCTGAAAAAAAAAAATTAAAAAAAAAAGAAATAAGAATCTGAATTGGGGGAAAAATAAAGCAAAGATCTACTAATAAAAAGGTTATGCAGCATTGCTGTTGTTGTTATGTGTCATTAAGTCACCTGCAACACATAGCGACACTATGTACAACAGCCCTAAACCCTGCTCTATCCTGTGCCAACGTTATGCAGTATAGTGTATTATTTAATATAGTCCTTTTAACCCTATCTTTGAAGCTCCCACCAAATGACTGCACTGTTTTGTTGTGATGTAATCCTGAGTTGGAACCAACCACAGGTGACCTTCTAGCAGGTTTTCAGACGAATTAAATCAAGCAAGAGGAGACTACCCATATTTCTCCTGCTGGGAGATTCAAACTGCTTGTCTTTGGATTGGCAGGGCAACTTCTTACCAGTAAGCCACCTATTTAAATGAGGTACTTGTGGCCCAACAAGTTGATGGTGTTAGATGCCATCATGTTGACTACAACTCACAGCAGGATCTGAACCCTTCTCTATGAGCATCATGCTCACCATATCTGATATGATCAAGCTCACTGTTAAGTCATGGTATGCCAATCCTTTTGGAAGACCTTCCTCTCTACCTTGTCCAGTATCTTATCTTTTTCCAAGGACTAGTACCTCCTAATAACATGCTCAAAGTATATGAAACGAAGTGTCACCATGCTTGCCTCTAACACACACTTGATTATTCTTTGGCAGTCCAATGACATTTTCTGTCTTCTCCAAAATCACAATTCAAAGCCATCAATTCTTCTTCCATCATCCTTATTCACTGCCCAACTTTCAGATGCACAGGATGTAAATTTTAAAAAACATGGCTTGAATCAGGCACACCTCAAGGCTTCTAAACTTGCATCATTTCTCTTGGGCACTTTGGAGAGGCCCTTGACAGCAAAGTTTCCCAATGCAACGTGCCTTCTTATTTATTTATTTTTTTTTTAAAAAATGATTTCTTGGGTATTGACTGAAGATCCAAGTAAAATGAAGTTGTTGACAATGTAAATTTTTTCTCCATCTCTCATGATGTTGCTTACAGGTCCAGTCGTGAGGATTTTTGTTTTTTGACAATGAGATATAATCTATATTGAAGAGTATAAATTTTGATCTTCTGCAGCAAGTGTTTCAAGTGTTCTTTGCTTTCAGCATACAAGGTTATGTGTCCCTACATAACATAGGTTAATAGTGAGTCTTCCTCTAATTGTGATGCCACATTCTTCTTCATAATGTCCAGCTACTGGAACGATTTGCTCAAGATGTAGATGGAGAAAAGATACAACCTTAACATATACCTTTTCTGATTTTAAATGATGCTATGCTTCCTTGTTCTGTTTAAATAGCTGCTTCATCAAGTTGTAAACTTAAAATGTGAGTTTATATCCACACATGTATCACTTCAATAAGAAGTTAATAAAAAAAAAATAAGAAGTTCAAAGTATCTAATTCTGAATGTAAAGTTTGCTTGATATTATTTGCTTTAATTTCTTCAGAACACAACACCAAGAGAACCTGGTAAGTAAAATGCCTTTCAGATAACCCAGAAAAGAAGGGATTAGTTTTAATCTCACTTTAGGAAAAAGTTAGCGAACTCACTTTGTATTCCAAATCTCTGAATATTGATAATTTATAGGTGCCGCATAATAGGTAAAGAATCTCGCTAATCAAGAGAGAGAACCCTCTTACTTATGAACAAAGAGAATGAGTATGTGAGTAGATCAGTAGTCTTTAAGTATCTGGCCCAAAGTTTTCCTGAGTATTTTCATGAGAGTATCCTTCAGAATCACAGATCATGTCTATCAATAAGACTGTTCAGAACTATCTTTAGTATGGCATGTTTTTTGAGCCAGGAGGCTAGACATTTGGATTCTAGTATCAGCTAGCAATAATCCGATCAGGTGTTCCTGTTTCTTTATGTACCTAAGAAGGTGAACCAGATGCTGCTGAAGGCTTCTTCCCTAGTTCTAGAAGTTGGCATTCTCCAAGAGACAGCACACCTTTGAGAGCAGGTCTCACATCATCTGTGGACACCATCTAGCCTGGCCGAAATGTTGAGAAGCTTAGCTGAGCCAGAAACAAACATGAAACCCACCTAGACAGGTCAACTCACAAATTTTCTGCAAATGTTTATTCTTTGAATATTTATTCATATTGATTTATTAAGAGCAGTTGGCTCTGCTCACTTTGATCTAAACTCATGTAGTAAAACCAATTATGTATAAAGTCACTTTTGATAACTTGAATAGACTCTTTCTTTAAGAAATGTGGGCTTACCTGCAATCTCTTTTCAAGGAATTGTCTTCCACCTTCCAAACCATATGAATGCTCATAAGGATAACTCCAATCTCGAATCAAAAACATCAATGTCTATACACACAAAAAAATTACAAATTACTTTCATATACACGAAGAGTTATTACTTTAGTGACGAAAGCCTCCCTTACTCCCTAAACAAAAGATGTAGCAGACCAAAAGTCGTACTTGTAGCTATCCACATTAAGGGTCAACCTAGTCAACAACAGTCCTAGCTGGCCCAGACCACATAGCAAATAATCCCCTCCACTCAAGAATTCCACAAAATAAAGAGTTACCAAGAATATTAGATATTTTAAAATTAATCAAAGGCACACTGGGGAATGTACACTAGAATTTTAATAGTCAAGATCATATTAAAGATCAAGAAGATCACCTAATTGGAGATGACTAATTCTAGACTGATTAGAGATTTGGTATCAACGAGGCCATTTTCACAGGACTTTTTATCCATCGAGGCTCAGGTTTCTCCCTGAACTCATAAAATACCATACAAAAGAAACCCATGACATTTTTTAATAGTTTAGTACAAACATTGTGTAAATTTGGCATGGCCGTCTTAAATTTCCCTCATCTTCAGTTCTCAAATAACATCTACTTAATAAAATATCTTCTTAATCCAAATAAAACTACTAACAATCAACAGATACATTTATTTTACTTCCTACACTGTTACTAGTATGTAAGTTGGTGATGACATTACCATAGAAGAGTTCTAACTCCACTAAATTTGCCACTATAAAAAAAGCTAGTATCTCCAAAATTGCATGGCAAAATGGCTTGACAACTTTTCAAAGTTTTAAAAAATAAAATGCTTATTTACCTGAAATGGTTTCTGATAGATTTCTTCCATTGCAAGCCTGCCATACTCTGTAAATAACTATTAGATCAAGTTATTTAAAAGAGTGTCCCAAAGAGATTAAAAAAAAAGACATTTATAAAGTTATCAGATATTAAAACCTTTATAATCATTTGAAAACCAAGATTTTTATTTTCAAACACTAGGAACACACTGCTATTAGGGACCTCTCCAAAGTACTGAAGAGCAATGGTGTCTCTTTGGAGACTAAGGTGTTTCTGATACAGTCCATGGTCTTTGCTATCACTTGTTATGCATCAGAGAGTTAGACAATGACTAAGGAGGATAGAAAGAGAATTGATGCCTTTGAGCTGTGGTGCTGGAGAAAAGTATTGAGGGTACCATGGACTGCCAAGAAAACAAACAGATTCATCTTGGAAAGGGTCAAACCGGGCTGCTCCTTGGAGGCAAGGATCCTAAGGGTCCGTCTAACATACTTTGGATACGTTGTGAGGAGGGACAGGTCCTTGGAGAGGGACATCATGCTTGGTAGGATGGAGGGACGGCGCATAAGGGGAAGGCCCCCTATGAGGTGGATTGATTCAGTGACTGGGATAATTGGGATGGGAGTATCAGAGACAGTGCAATTGGCACAGGACAGAGCGGAGTTTAGGGCTGTTGTACATAGGGTCGCTATGAGTCGCAAGCGACTCGATGGCACATAACAACAACAGGAACACACTGAAATTATAAGTAAGAAGTAGTAAATTCAGTTTAAACCATGTAATATTCATTCTTTTTACACTGTTTACCAGATTCTTGGTATAAATCTACAATAAAGTGAAAATTAAAACTTTCAATACTTTGATGTATATTATTTGAGCCATACATACTTGTAAGTGTTGAAGATCATCTTCTTGAATATTCTGAGACAAGTTATATACCTGTTAGAACAAATTTATTTTGCTATTACTAGCGTTTAATTTTTAATATCCACCTTGCGTATAATTTTATTTGTAGAATTGAGGGCTATTTTATAACTCAGCAGAAAAATGGCACATCAAAAAGACTTTCTTTTTACTGTAACAACATTTAGGATAAAATATTATAGACGTGGAGGGGCTGGTTAACAGCATTCTTTCTCAAAGACTAAAAGGGAAAAAAGGTCTCAAAAATAAATTAATACCTGATACAGAGTATAACAGTTATTATTTAGACGCTGCCATGACTACCATCAACTGTAATTTTTTCTACCTAAACCTTATCAACCTAAAACTCTTGCCAGATTTTAAGTCTGCCTATGACAGCTGAAATAACAGTAGGTGGCACTATTTCCACATTTTAGGAGATTTCTAAGGCTCACAGATAGAAGGCTGCTGCTACCACACAAACTGGACATTACCTGCTATTTCTGCCAAGAAATAAGTTAAATCAAAGTTCACAGGATTAGATTTTGTAAATTATTACCTAACGTGGGAGGGACTGGAGAGTATTATGCTGAGTGAACTAACTCAGTCCCACAGGATAAATATTGTATAATACCATTATTATATCATAGAATGTGTATGAGGATGGGAGGGTGGGGTGGAACCAGAGGGATGAGGATGTGGGGGGGGGGGATTAATCATGGGGTTGTACAATCTGATGGGTGGGTGGGGTTTGAAAGAATTTGTTCTGGAAAACAATGTATTCAAATTTTATAAATAAACTAGTATAATAATAATACTAAAAAGTTAATAAAATTACTCCAAATATAGAACCGTTAGTTCAAATGGAAAACAAGCAACAACCTAGCTGAACTATTTAAAGAAGTCCAGATCCTTTCACTGCAGAGCCAGACTACAAATAGTAAAAGGGTAAAGAAAAGTTGTTCATTTTAGATCTTTAAAATAACACATAGTTGCTGAAAGAATAAATGACACAGCATCAATTTATCAGTCAAATATCTCTAGTGAGGAGAGAAATCAACTCTCAAATGCCAAGAAGGAAGCAATAGTAACTTTTATCTTCCTGATCAATTACAGCTTCTTCTGCATTATCTCATCTGAATCTCATTTCTGAGTGTACACAGCAACCACAATTAAGATAGGCAAGCCAGTAGTGGGTAGTGTTCTCATTTTACAGATAAGCAAGTGGCGGAGTGAGTTTCTTCTTTCTACTATCAAAAAGTTTAATAGATAAATAAGAAAACACCAATTTAAAGTAAATCCAACAACCTACTGCTACCCAACAAGTGCTGGGAGGTGAAAACAGACATTGCCTCAGGGGAATCAGAACTGGGCCTTTTGACAAAATTCAACTCATTATCATCTAAGTCAGAAACCAACTCATAGTTGACACTCCAGTGAGTTTCTGAGCCTGTAAGTCACAGGAAAGGAAGGTAGAACAAAAACAAACAAAAAAGACTATGAGGGTCTCCAGTTTGGGGCTTAAAGAAAGCAAATGTAATCTCTTAAACTCTATAATAAACAAAAGCCATGCTGAACAAGTTTATTTGAGCTCAAACCAATACTCCTTTTTTCTAGATTGAGAAAGCAAGAATATGTTTGAAACAAAAGTTTCAAAGTCATTATAACATGGTGAGACATTGGTATTACTATCTAAAACATGCAGTCAACAGAGACAACTTCTTACCCTGGGACAATCACATAAACTCTTGAATAAAGTATTTCAATTTACACTTCTGGTTAATTTTGCGTGTCAACTTCACTAGACTATGGTGTCCAGCTGCTCTAACACTAGATGTTGTTATGGTGACTGGCATTCAAATCAGTTGCCCTGAAGCTGATCAACTAACACAACGTGGGTGAACCTCAGGAATTCTAGCTAAAGTCCAAGGGAGGAAGAAGACCTTTGCCTTATGATTGCACAAGACTCCCAGAATTTTCAGCCTATCACCTGATCTAGATTTTGGACTTGCCAGCAGCCACAACCATTTGAGCCAAATCCTTACAACCAATCACTCTCATGTGTGTTGTGTATGTACCGCTAACTGGTTCTATTTCACTGGAGAACCCTAATGCAAAGTATCAACTACAAATGACTGCAGGGAAAAAAAACAACAAAATCTATGATGTGTAATTTAATTTAGTCCAAATTACACAGAAGTAGAGAGCTCTCGTAACTTACTGGGTAAGGAGTTGTGCTACCAATCCAAAGGCAGGGAGTTTGAATCTATCAGCTGCTCTGTGGGGAAAAGATGGGTCACCTCCTCTCATGTGATTTATAGCCTCTGAAACCCTAAAGGGTCACCTACGAGTTGGTTCTGACATGATGGCATACAGCAACAACAAAAAGAGACCAGGACTTGCTAGAACACCAAAAATAATCAAAATAAAGAAAAGTGAGAAAAAGAAAATATTTAATAAAAAAGTATCAATAGTGGTTGGGGGGGGGACTGAGAAAGATGGGATAAACTATGTATACTGCATTGAAACAGATGAGAGAGAGAACTGTTTAAAAGGCATATATGATTAGGTACTATAGTCATGACAGGAGTCCAGAATGAAGGCTGCATAGTGGAGTGAACTTGTGGGGGGAGGGAATGTGTAACAGTGAAAGAATTTTACTTTTCAAAGAGAAGAATGAACTGGAGGGGAGGGGTGGGCAGGGAAAAAAGTGCAACAATGAATGAATGGAAATCCAAAATCTCTGTAAATTTTCATTAAAATTAATAATAATAAATTTTTTTTTAAAAAGTATCACTTAGCTTAACTAAGTCCGTTAGTTCTTGGAGTGCTTCCTCGACTAATTCAGATAATCGAGTGCTAGCTGTCATAAACATAAAGCAGAAAAACTAGACTTCCAAGCTTAATTACTTGAATTTTTTGCTTTAGGTTTAAGCAGAAAGTAAAAATGTACTTATCTGGCAATCATATAATGGCATTCAATTAAGGATAATATTTAAAACATAGATTCTGTAATGAAAACCAAAGAGTTTGGCTATTTACTAATTCCCTGGTAACTTTTCAAAGTAAAAATTTCACATAGTAGTCACAACAGAAAAAAAAAATACAAGAAATATAAATAACCAATGGGACTTAAGTATCTCTTTAATTTTACCTTTATTCCCCTCAATCAAAGGCAGTCGGAGAAAGGCAAGGATACTATGATTACCTGTCCTGAACATTATGTCATCTCATGTCTTACCTGGACAGAGCTAGTCATAGTACTCAGAGCAAACACTGTTGCACAGTCTTTGATAGTAGACTGGCTATCAAAGGCACCCTGGGTATCCATTAGCAATACAGCCACCTAGAAAGTTAGAAGTTTAAAATACTAAGAAAAATATGAACCAAAAATGGCAGTAAAAATAAAACATAAAATGGTCAATGCCAAACTCAGTAATTAAAGGACTTATATTCTTGCATCATAACCAACACATATTAGATATTAAACTGTGTGATAAATTAACAAGGGAATAAAGGATAGAAAATAACATTAAAAACAAATAAAACTTTACCTTTGTTCCATCAGGCCTGTCAATTACAAATACTTCACTCCAGACTTGTATGCCCGTTGTTTCTCTCTCACAACCACCTCGCCACGTAAAGCCAGTCAATGGTTCATTGTGTCCGCCAATCCAATTTTGGGAATCCTAGAAAAGTCAAGCATGAACGTAAAATGGAATGAAAGAAATTCCAAGAGAACAGTCTTTATTTTACACACGAAGATCTGTAATATTCCACAGCAATCTAATTCAGTGTGTTTACTTTACACAGTTACCAGTTATAAGACCAGTCTCAAATCCTGCCAGAGTTCCTTGCCATGTAGCTATCCTGTCCTTCCAACCTGAACATTCCTAAAGTTGAAATCTGCTCCCAGTTTTACTCTATAGTTCTATTAGATAAGTGAGGTCCTATACATGTTATCTCCTTTATGGAAAGACTTCTGGAATGTCTTAAAACTGTAACATGTAGAAACCAGATAATCTGACATCTTGTATAAATAAAAACAAAAATCTTATGCAAGAGTAGATATCAAAATAGCACTACTCTTAGAATAGTTTATACTAAAGTATTTTCACACTGTCTTAATTTTCTCTTTAAAAAGAACCAACTTTATAAATAACCACAAGACTTCTTTGGAACTTGATTTAAATAGCACAGTATCAGGGAAGGGGTAAGACTTTTTCAAAATTGGAAAAGAAATCTAAAACCAAACTGAATATTGTAAACCAGACAGGGTAAAGATAAGTGTTTGGCCTCAAACAGTAACTGTGATGTGATGTGATGGGATATGATGGAACATGTTGTAATGGTTTCTGGGTGGCCTCAAACCTCCAATCTCCCAGGCCTTACAAAAAAGGCTTGGCAATCTAATTCTGAAAAATCACTCATTAAAATCCCAATGGAGCAGTTACTCTGACATATTTATGTCTCCATGTGTCAGAATCAATGAGTTGGCAATGAGAATGGGAAGAACACCATAGCTGTGCTATATATATTAAGAATCTCATCTGTTAAGACACAATATTGAAAGGATATTCTGGGATTTGCTTTAAAATAATCCAATTCTTCTCCCTACCTACCACCACCAAAAGGGGGTAGGGAGTTGAAACGGGGGGGAAAAGGATGAAACAAAAACAGCAAAATGTTGGAATGTACATAGGGATTCACAATACTGTATGCTTTACTTCTAGGTATGTTAAAACTATTCATAGGAATATTTTATTTATTAATAAACACTTAAGTGCTTTATTCTATGTATTCCCAATACACAGAATAGTCTTGGGCTTCAAACAGGCACTAAAATGAATATGTAGGTAGGTTTACTAACAAGCTTCAATGCATTCCCTTTAGAACACTGGTAGTAAATATTCCTAGAAACAGCTAATACAACTATATTGATAAGATGGTAAATTTTCTAGTTTTGACATTTTAAAAAGCAAAGAAGACAAATGATAGCTTGAAGTGTGTTAATCTCATCATAAAATATTTCTAAAATGATCTTTATTTCATACAATCTATTATGTACATATCTCTAAATTGATCTTGTAGTGACTATGCTACGGTTTTAACAATATTAAATTGTTTACCCTAAAAAAACAAGAGCCACAACTCAAACAGATGTAACACCCATGTTTATGGCTGTGTTATCTACAGTAGCAAAGGCCGGAAGCAACTCAAGTGCCCATCATTAACCAAATGAATTAAAATAACTATGGAACATTTACACCATGGAATACTACACGGCACTTAAAAACAATGAAATAGTAAAACATTACACAACATGGGGGAGCCCTGAGAACATTATGCTAAATAAAATCTCAGTCATAAAAGGACAAATACTGCAATAATACTGCTGTTACAAAATAGGACATAGAAGGAGGGGTTGGGAATAGGGAGAGAGTGGATAGTTAATGAATACTTCATTAGAACAGATGAGGGGAAGAACTGTCTGAAAGGAATATATGATTATGCCTTCTACGTATGAGAACAATCTGGAACAAAGGGTGCTTTGTGGGGTGGGCTGGGGGAGGAAGAGGAAAGGAGGGAGAAAATTTGCAACAATAAATAAAAAGAAAAATGTATTAAATTGTTAATTGAAGGAAGAATTACAAAGCCTAGATAATCTACTTTTGTAAAACTTGACATTCTTTTGTGCAATATAGTTGTCTTAAAGTATATTCATTATTCAAGTATTTATAAAGCTCTTTTCTCTTATATCAGTGTTCCAAGATTTTGCAGTAAAACAATGACCAAAGCAGACCTGCTCATAAAAAAAAAATCACTCTGAAGGGGATGCTAGAGACAGTGTCACCAATGGCAGCAAAACGTCTCTTGCATGGTAGCCGCTGTAAGTTACAAAAAAGCAAGTCTAAGAACTCAAAATACATTAAACTGGTGGTATTTACTACCATGATGGGGGGAGGGGTGAGCTTCAAAACTCAGAATTCCAAAACAAAGCGTAGTCTTTCACTACAATAAAGTAAAATTGAAAGACTAGATCTTACAGAATAAATCTCAACTGCAAAAAGAAATCTGAAATCACCAGAGTATCAGTATAGTCAAAAGGCACAGTGAATAAACATTAAGTGCTTGACAAAGAGATTTAACTGTGTAATATATTTATTGGTAATAAAGATCCCCAAGCTATTCTAAATGTAGACACAAATTCATATTACACTAGAAGGAATTATCCACAATAAAGATATAATGATAAAGGGGTCAGTTAAAAAATCTTTAACCTATTTCCACTTAAAGCCAAAGGGTACAAAAGTATGTGAGGCAAACTTTTGGAAAAAGATAGTGATGAAAAGTTACACGCCACGGTGAATGTAATCAATATCACTAAAGAGTCAACTTAAAAAATGGCTTACTAGCAAATTGGGGGGGGGGCGTATATTGCATGTGTATATTAATACAAGAAAATTAAGTCAAAGAAAGCTAGAGAAGCTGTATTAATTCTGGACAAAACAAAAGTACATTAGGAAAAAAGAGATAAGTATCAGTAATAGAAAAGCATTATATAAAGATAAAAGGGTCAATTCTGAAGAAAAAAAAAATACACCACCAAACTAAGAATCTCCATTCTCTTCCCTCTGTATCTAAAAACTGTCAAAACATATGAGGCACACTAATATAATTACAAGGATGAAGTGACAAACCCACTATCATAGCCAGGGTACCAACATCCCTTTATCAGCCATTAAACAGATGCAGCAGATACAAAATCAGGAAAGGTGTAGCTGAACTGAATACTATCCATCATTTTAATCTAATTGGCTTTTATAGAACACTTCATTCAAAAGCGGCAGAAACACAGTCTTCTCCAGTTTGACTTGAAATTCACCAAGATAGAGACTATGTTCTGGACCATAAAATACATCTTAAAAGACTTATTAGAAATCATATCATGTATACTCTTAGACCAAACCAAAAAAAAACCCCAAAAACAAAACAAAACAACAAACAACCCTAGAAACCAGTAACAGGAAGACAGCCAGATATTACAGAAAATTGGAGATTAAACAACCCACTTAAAAAAATATAAAGGTTTAAAGTGGGGGGAACCCAAGAGAAATGAAAAATTAAAAACAAACAAACCAAAACGGAAATATAACTTTGACTCACAGGGTCACTATGTACAACAGAATGAAGCAGTGTTCAGTTCAGTGGCATATTCACAGTCTATGATGAGCCCGTGGTTCTTTGAAATAGTCAATAAACTGGATAGAACTTTAACCAAATTAATTTTATTAAAAAAGAGCAAGAACTTCACAGTCTCAAAAGATTTTTTCCTTAAAAATGGAAATGATTTTATATTATAATACAAATTACACTAAATTTGAATCTGTAAATAGAAGAAGAAAAACTTAGTCTCAATCCACAAGGAAAATGTGGGGAAGAAATGCAGTATTGTAACCCAGAAACACAGTTTATATAACTACTGAAGCAAATTCCTTTAGCTTATATTCACAGGGAGAGAAAAAAAAATCCAAATATTAAAACTTTTTTACTTTAAAAAAATCATGTATTAATACATAATAAAAAATTAAAATTTCAGCATCTTATTACATAAGTTACAAACTTTTCATTCATAAAATTAAAAAAGCAAGTTCAGTTAAATACTAAAAGTAGTAACAAGTAACTTCAGCATCAAATGCAACAATTTTAAGAGCAAAAAAGCCTGTACAGAATAAAAGGACTGAAAATTAACAATGTACACATTTATCAAAATGGCTAAAATAAAGACTGGCAATACTGTTACAAGATGTAGAACAACTATACATGTCCTCTGTTTCAGAGCATAATGACAAAACCACCTAGGGAAGACGATTTGGCAGTACATACTAAAATGAAAACTGCCCTTCAGAGGCAGTTAATTGCAAGAGAGATTGTTCCTCCTTCCCGGGTGGGTGGATTCAAACTTTGTGCCTTTTGGACTGCAGCGCAGCTTCTTACCACAAGGTCACCAGTGCTCCCAGTGATGTTGGAAAAGAGCACTGAATATCCCATGGATTTGCCAATAAAAACAACAGATATGTCTTGGAGAAAGTACAGTTAGAATGCTCCTTGGAGGCAAAGATTATAAAGTTTGGCTTACAAACTTTGGACATGTTGCTAGGAGAGGTTGTTTCTTGGAGAGGGACATCAGGCTTGGGAAGGGGGAAGGACAGCAAATGAGAGGCAGACCTTCAACCAGGTGGATTGACACAGTGACTACAGCAATGGGCTTGTGTGTGTCAAAGATTGTAAAGATAGCACAGGATAGGATAGGATTCACATCTGTTGCTCATAAGGTCATTTTAAGTTATACTTGATGGTACCGAACAATAACTAAAATTAAACAGTGACTTGAACTAGCAGTTCTACACTTGATATAAACCAACAGAAATAAGTTCTTAAATCACCACAAATTGGACAAGGTGAAGAGCATCTTTATTTAAGGTAAAAACTAGAAAGAATCTGCATGTCTATTAATGGAAGAATGAAAAAGAAATTGTTAATATATTCATCCACAAAATACCACTCAGCAATAAAGAATAACAAATAATTCAATATGGATAAATCTTAAGAATAAGATGAGTCACATACAAAAAAGTCAGACACACACGTATATACTTGATGAACACATTGATATGAAGTTCAAAAG